AAGTAGATTGTTCATGGCTATAACTCTAGCATTATGAAATAGTCTGCTTGCATGGCTACCTCAACTTAATTTATAATTAAGGATAATGTTTTGGTTATAGAAACTTCAGGGCAATCTTACTTTCATTTTGTCTAAACCTGTAGAGTACAGTCAATAAGCCACTCCCAGAGTGCTGGCTTTATGACCAAAAACACATTATCATATGATGACTTAGCTATCTGTTCCATCTTGGAACAAGTTGTCCTATATTCATCATTCCAAATGGACTACTCAGGTCTCCCCACTCCTTCCATGTATATAGTATCATAGGGACCAAATAATAAAAGATGGCAATGAGCCAACACTCAATGTGTCAGAAGCTTCACATCCTTCAGGGGGAAAAAAAAGGCTCTACATTAGTAATTGGGAATAAAGGATGAATGACAACTTATAGTAATTGAATAGTGATAAAAATCACAATTAAAAAGCCCACACCTCATGCTTTCTCCATCCTTGCTATTACCCCCAAGAATACTTCCAATCACATGGTTACTCTCCCCTTCAGTACCCCCATTTGACTGTTCACTCACCTTCAATTTTAGACTAACTCTGGCAACCTCTTACAATTCAGGAGGACCTACTTCTCTGCTATACTCCCCTCCAATGTAACCAACAACTCGTATTTATTGTGGCTGTAAATATTGGATACTATAATTCAAGGAATGTACTAAAGATCACATTTCCTTTCTTAGTAATGCCTTTTTTTTTTTTTTTTTTTTTTGGTTTTTCGAGACAGGGTTTCTCTGTGGTTTTGGAGCCTGTCCTGGAACTAGCTCTTGTAGACCAGGCTGGTCTCGAACTCACACACACTTCATTTTTCTGTTTCTCATCCGGTGCCTGGTAGATTAATGGAAATAGTTTGTTGTTAACATAACTGCTAACCACCCAAACAGCACTTCACAGTCCATTTTAAAGTCAAACTTAAAAAGAGATCACAAAAACATTTCCTTTACCATCAGTTATACAAGTAACGATTTATTGTAAATTTAGACAGGCTGGAAGTTCCCACAAGAACTCTGAAATATTCATTTTGTTACAGAAATTGGCTGTGATAAGACAAAGGCCTTGGACTTACTCTTCATAAAGTTTACCAACACCTGCTACAAAACAGTCCATTCAAATTGTTAGCAGGGGTGCCAGCTCACCGTATAGCAGTTAGCAGAGGCAGGGGATCAAGAGTCCAGGGTCATCATCAGCTATGTGAGACCCAATCTCAAAAATAAATGAACGAACAAACAAAGGTTTTTAATGAGCCGCCCGAGCCTCCGAGGGCATAGACTCCAGTGCCTGGGAGACTGGGCGGCAACACTGTTTGGGCGCAGAAGTTTGGGCACAGAGTGGACCACAGGCACTGGCTCATTGTGTTTTAGTCTTTGTTTCTGAGACAAGATCTCTCCCTCTGCAGGCCAGGCTGGCCTGGAACTCACATAGATCTCCCTGCCCCTGCCTCCCAGGTGCTGAAATTAAAGCTGTACACCACCATACCTGGCCTGTTTCAAGTCTTTTCAATTCATTTTTTAAAAAATATTTTCTCACTGGGTGGTGGCACACACCTTTAATCCCAGTACTCGGGAGGCAGAGGCAGGTGGATCTCTGTGAGTTCGAGGCCAGGCTGGTCTATAAGAGCTCTTTCTAGGACAGGCTCTAAAGCTACAGAGAAACCCTGTCTCAAAAAAAAAAAAAAACAAAAACAAAAACAAAAAAACTTTTCTCTTATGTATGTCTGTGTACCTCTTTTGTGTCTTGGTGCCTGCAGAGATCAGAAGTTGGTATCAGATCCCCTGGAACTGGAGTTACAGCCAGTTGTGAGCTGCCAGGTAGGCGGGTCATCAGGAAGAGCAGTCTGTGCTAACCACTGTGCCATCTCTCTAGTCCCCGCTTTATGTGTTTTATGTCTTTGTTATTATTTAGACAGGATCTCTCTATGTAGGTCTGGCTGACTTGGAACTCATTCTATAGACTAAGGTGGCCTTGAACTCACAGAGATCCATCTATCTACCTCTGTCTCCTAGAGCTGGGATTAAATGTATGACCCCCCCACCTTGTTTTACACTTTTTTTTTTTTTTTCCGAGACAGGGTTTCTCTGTGGTTTTGGAGCCTGTCCTGGAACTAGCTCTTGTAGACCAGGCTGGTCTCGAACTCACGGAGATCCGCCTGCCTCTGCCTCCCGAGTGCTGGGATTAAAGGCGTGCGCTGTTTTACACTTTTTAATGGAAGGTTTCAGAACATACAGAAGTAAAGTAGCATCTTTCAGTGGACCATTTCCAGATACAGACAGAGCAGCATTCTGTTCATCTCTGGATGTGATGGACGTTGCAGCCAACCATAAACCACAAACACAATGAAGAATCCTCAAGTATAGTCAAGCAGAACCAGGAGCGCGCAAGAGGGGGTGTACAGGAGAATGTCGACCAATTTCCTGACTAACATGAATCCTTAAAAGAAATTGTGTAAAAGCAGAAGTTGCTGCTTTGAACTTTCCTGGGAACAAATCTCAGAGTATTGAGCAATGCTGGCTGATGCAACCGCATACTTTATTACTCATCTGAGAAGCAGAGAGGCTATTCAGAGAATGAAGATGCCTTTGCATCCCTGCAGGCATCTGGAAGAGCAGGTCTCAGGGATTTGCAGGGGCCACCACCACGGCCCTGGTTCCTGAACTGTTCCAGCCAGACATGGGAAGCTTGCGTAGCTGCTGTTTTTCTTTATTTTTGTTTCTGTTTTTAAGACAGGGTTTCTCTGTGGAGCCCTGGCTGTCCTGGAACTCACTCTGTAGACCAGACTGGCCTCAAACTCGAGAGATCTGCTGGTCTCTGCCTCCCGAGTGTTGGGATTAAAGGTGTAAGGCACCACAGCCCGGCTCCTCTGCACCACTTTGTGAACATTTTTCTAGGAGGGTTTCTCTTCTACAATAGCTAGAAATGACTAGAAATAATTTAAAATCAGGGAAGAGTTCACCTCCCCAACTTTAACACTGCACAGTGAGTGAGACACCTGATATTCTAGGGATTTAGCTCTGATATCCAAACCGTTTCATTGTTGAGCAAAATACTTAAATATGGTTAAGGGCTAGGAATGTGCCTCGGAGGTAGAGTGCTTGAAAGGCCCTGGATTAAGATGGTAATTTTTGTTGTGGTTATTTTGCCTTTTCTAAAACAAACAAACAAACAAACAAAAAAACACCTCAGTAACAAAAGCGACATGGTTAACTCTTTTCTCAAAGTTCTGTTTTTAGAACCGAAATAGCCAAAGAACAATGGAGGAGCGTTCCCTAGCTGCCTCGGTGAACAGGTCCACTCCGCTCATTCATACCCAGCCCAGCACACAGGACTCTACGTAGTCCACGCTGGTCCGGAACTCTCAGTCTTCCTTCCTCAATCCCTGAGTGATGGGATTCGGGTTGGCACCCCCACACTTGACCAGAAAAGGTTAATGCTTCAGGCGCTGATATCTGGCAAACAAAAGATGGCTTTAAAGTATATCTGCTTTGCTTGTCAGTGAAGACATTCTGTGCAGTCTATGGTCGTGGAGGAAGCTGTGGTCTGGCTAATGAGACAAAACATATGGGCTAAACCAAACCCCAACTGGAAAGAATCAGTGTGGCATGCCTTCTTCTCAGTCATCCGGGTCTTTTGTGATCTCATCTTGCTCTATGTTTTTACGACTGTCCAGAGAGAACCATTTTTTTTGGTGAGGCAGATGTCACGAGTCTCAATCACACAGGCGACATATAAAAGACAAGCATAAGCTTTAGGCCAGAGCCTGCTCTCCGAACGCCTACTGTAGCAAGAGCCGCAGGACGAAGGGGCTGAGTAAATTATCACTCAGAGACAGCGTAAGCAGGGTGTGAGTCTTAGGGGATATTCTGCTTGGACGGACACCTAAACTATCGTATCCTTACCTCAGGAGCCTCCGTGGCCAGCAGGCTTCCAGTGTTAGCCAGGTCTATGACAGCCCTCTGCTCTGACTGATGCTAGAGACCTGGAAGGCCCTGGCTGTCACCTCTAGCGATGCAACAACAAACCGGCAACACTAAATGCATAAAGGGGTTAATTTGACTTGTTTCTGTATTTATAAGCACATTGTAATCATGACGTCTTGTGATTACCTCGAGAGAGCCTAGTAATTCAGGGCTCCTAAGCTCCGCAGTTAGTGCTATCTAGATTCAAATCCCAGCTCTTTGATCCTGGGCAAATTACTTGGCTCTCTGCACTTCAAGGTCGTTTTCTATCAGAAAGGGTTAATAACAGGTTACTTTGGAGATTAGATAACTCGGAAACACCAGCGCCTCACTGGGAGGGAGAAGGCTACGACACAGAACACACAAATAATGTATCCGTCTATACATGGTCATTTTGTCACAAAGATGACGCTGTGCTCAGCCGACCCTGTGTTATCTTTCTCTCCTCAGCTACATACATCATATGAGTGTATATAATTCACTAATTAAAAAATATTTTTTGTTGTGGGCTACCTTACTATAGATGTATCAAGAGTTACAACAAAAAATCACCTAGAATCACTATATCCAGAGACTATAGTTTATTACTATTATTACATTTATTATTATTATTTTAAAGGTAGGGTCTCTGGCCTTAAAGCTGGACTAGAATTCACTATGTAGCTTAGGATGACCATAAACTTCTTCTGATCCTCCTGCATCCACCTCATGAGTGCTGGGACTATGAGCACGCACCACAGCGCCTGAGTTGATTGGCTGTCTTTGACATCTGTTTTCAATTTGTTTCTAGTCTCAAATACATGCATTTAAAAATATTTTAAAACTTCAAGCTGTTTGTGACTCAGTTCCAGTCATCCTGGTTCCAGGGGACCCAGTGCCCTTCCTGCCCCCATGGGCACCAGGCACTGGTGGGATGCACATGCCTACAGTCAAGCAACACACACACAAATCTAAAGGGAAAAACATTTTTAAATGTTAACAATTTACCTTCATCTTTAAAAACATTTTTTAATGTGCATTGACATTTCCTCCTGCATGTGTAGTTTGAGCAAGAGTGCTAGATCACAGACAGTTGTGAGCTGCCATGTGGGTACTGGGAATCGAACCCAGGTCCTCTGGAAGAGCAGCCCGATGCTCTTAACCACCGAGCCAGCTCTCCAGCCCCCACTGTCATCTTTTTGATTAAACCAATCAAGCACTATAAATTAGGTTGAAGATTTTTCTCTCCTCAGTCCAATTTCCATTCCCTCTACATAGGCCAGAGTTGTCATGAATTTGGTAAGAGTTTACAATCACCCAAGATATTAGTATAGGTTCCAAAGGCTCTGTGTACTTATGAATATGGTGTCATAACATATACAGTTCTGCAAATTGCTTTTCTTTGTTCCACATTGGTTCTGAATTCTATCTGCAGTCCTTTATCCTTTGGCAGAAACAAAGTCAGTTCCTTCGCGCCCATATGTATACCGCCACGTGAATTTTCCTTCTCTGCTGCTGCACACTCAAGTCGTTCAGATTAGGCGTGTGCCACCATGGCCCCCCTGAATACGTGTGCTTTTGAGGGGCATTTACAATCTAAACCATGACACCATTTTATAGCATTTTTTTTTATTTGAGTAAAGTTTTTCTTTCTTTTGTTTTGTTGTTTTTCTTGTTTTTCAAGACTGGTTTCTCTGAGTAGCCATGGCTGTCTTGGAACGCACGCTGTTGATCAGGCTGGACTCGAACTCAGAGACGCACCTGCCTCTGCTTCCTAGGGCTGGGCTTATAATTGTGCACCACTAACAGTTGGCTTGATCAAAGTTTCTTACACCTTTAAAGGGCAAGAGGCAAGAACTCTAAACACACAGTGAAGGCTGCCAGTGTGCTTGCCGTGGGGGGAGGAGTACACGGGTGAGTGTCAGTGGGTTCCTCTTCTATAGACTAAATTGTTGGCGATGCACTGGGTTTCCACCACCCTGCAAGATGTCAGTGTAAGCACTCGGGGTCGGACTGACAAAAGAAAAGGAATGCTAATTATTAAAGTTCAATGGGTGGAGAAATGAGAGCTGAGGAGATTCTCTGGAAGACAAGGGATTTGGGAAAGGGGGCAGTTCTGGGCTAAAGGTTTGGCGAGCGGTTTAAGCCATCAGGACAAGAGTTCCGCTGAATTTAGTACAGGAGAGACAGTTTGAGTTCCTTTCCCAGTACGAAAATAAAATAAAAGCTGGAACAAATGATCTTCGTTATTGTTTCTTCCGGAATTGAAACTTCAAATGTCACGATTGTTAATTAAAGAGGAAACCAGGTTGACTTTTAAAAACCATTATTCCTCACCATCACTTACCACAGACCGTAGGTGGTGGGAAGTGTGATGTTAGAGAGCCAATAGTAGATGGAGGACTTGGCTTCCACGCTGTTATTTCTTCTCAGCATCTGTCCCTGGACCAAATCCCCAAATGGAGGCTAAAGGAGTGGCCGAAGTGTAAGCGCCTGTCTCTCTGGTTGGTTCGTAGTGTTCTGTTCTATAAAACCATAAGGCACTTTGCAGAATGCGTGCCCGGGGAGAGAGCTGGTTAAACTGGGTCCTATTAAGCACGGATTGTCAGGCGTCCCGGTTTTTTATTCGGCGCCCCGGTCTCAGGAGCCGGCTCTACTTTTCGTGGCTGGCACTGGAGCCCGTGAACTTTTTTTTATTTTTTTAGCCGACTGGTACGAGGAGCTTGGGAGAAACGGCGACTTCCGAGGCGAACCGCGCGTAGGGCAGGTGGCGGCGGCCGGGCCGGGCAACGCAGGAAGCGGCCGGCGGGGCGGAGCGGGCGGGCGACGGGGAACGAGGCCGCGGGCGCCCCGCCCGGGCTGGTATGCGGCCGGGAGTGACGCGGGAGGAGGGGTCACGTGACGCCCGTGGAATGCCAACAATGTAGCGAATGTCCCGCTCGGGTCTGTGCGTCGGAACCGCGGCGTGAGCGCCCCGGGAAGATGGAGCCGCCGCCGCCACCAGCGCCGCCACCGCTTCTCCGGGCTCCCCCGACCCTACGGGGTCAGCAACCACTGCCGCCACCGGCGCCCGGTCTCCCGGCGCGCGAGGTCCCGGAGCCGCGGGCCAGGATGCCGCCGAGGGTGTAGAGCGCTCCCGGAGGTGAGGGGCCGCGGCCGGGAAGTTTGTCCGGACGGGGCTCCGCCCGCCCGGTCCCGCCCGGTCCCGTGGTCGAGTAGCCCTGCGGGCCGTGGAAAGTCCACCGGGCCGGTACCGGGCGGGTGCGGGGCAGTGGGTGGAGGCGGTGGGACGGCTTTGTTGTGCTCGGCGGCGTCCGGAGGCCGAGACCCCGCGTCCCGCGGCGCCGACCCCGCCCAGCCTGGGCCTCCGGAGCGCCGCGCCGTCCGCCACGCGCGCTCGCGGCCTTGCGCGCCGTCCGTCCCCGGGCCCTCGGCGGCGCAATCCCCGCCCGGTGTCCCGTCCCTGGCCGCGCCGTCCTGTGCGGGGCCGTTGCGTAACGCCTCTCCGGAGCCGACTTCTCCCCGGCCGGCCTCGGCTGCTCCTCCCCTCCGCCACTCTGCGGCCTGAGTTCGTAGCGCTGGTCCTCAGCCCAGGTCACCCACACAGGAGCCTGCGGGGCCCGGGTCTCACCCGGGGCGACCTCCGCTACCGCCTCGTCCTCGAGGCCGCCGGGTGAAAATGCCTGCGAGGGGACGGGAGAGAACGGGACGTGCAGATTTTGTTGACAAAAAGTTTAAGGGAGGACTTTTACTTCTTTAAACTTTTCCTGCGTGCGTAATGTGGCTGTTTATTTAGGGGTTTGTGGGAAATCTTGCGCCGTATTTTTAGTTTAACCCATGGTTAAATGATGCTCACCATTTTTGAGGGCTAAATCTGGAGATTAAGCCACTTTTTATGATCACCCCCCCCCTTGGCAACTTTTGTAATAAGGCGTTAACAAAAATCTCCCGGTACAGGAATGTAGACGCCGCTTAGGAAGCCTGTTTTAACTTAACTGCAATTAACAAGACATTACAGTATTCGGCCTCTTGTAAAATATCGTCTCGTTATCCCGGTCTAGAGAAGACCGTGGAACAAATCTACCATGGTTCCTTTGAAATTGCTGAACTTTTACCGCGTTTCAAGTGTCAGCTGCGTATGGTACCAACAGAGGCTGCTGTGCAGTTCCTAGAACAGTTACAGAATCCCCGAAGTTTTGAGCCAAGAGTTATATTCTTCAGCCTCTCCATCTCGTTGGAATAGTATTAAGTGTAAATTGGAGCTGTCTGTCGGTATTTCTTTTCTTAGCAAATCACAGCTTTGGTGGGAGGGACTTTCAGTGGTGGGCGGGGAACACGTTACAATAAAATGCCTTGTTATTTTAAATGCTGTGTTGTAAATAGCCTGCCCTGTGTACTTAAAGCCCACTGGAGAGTGGAATGGAGAGGTTGAAACTGATAAATCCACCCTAAGCATGTGTACGAAAGCTTTTGGGGAGCTTTGTCGCGGGGGGGGGGGGCGGCGGGGGGGGGGGGGGGGGGGGGGGGGGGGGGGCGGGGAGGGTAAAGTGGGGTGAGGGTGTTGTGTTTGTGTTGGGAAATCCAGACCAATACAACGTTTTCTGTTTCGTGCTTGTAATATGAAACTTCCAGGCAGTATTCTATACTATTTAAAAATAGTATGCTCGAAGGACTGCAATTGATGAAGGCGATGTATTTACATTGTCTTGACTAAATCAGTTCTGCAAAAGGGTAGACTTTAAAGTAGTCCTCAGAGGTCAGCTTTGTGGAAGCTGTAGGAATTCCCAGAAATCTCCGTCCTTCTAAAAAGCCTGTGGATTGCTGATTCCCCTGAAGCAGCTGGCGTGCGGAGAAGTACCTCTTCCAGTGGTAGAGGGCTGTTCCTTTCCTCGGGTCAGTTCAGGGCCACCCTCTGAGGGGCGCCCTGAGTGTTTAAGGATCTGCTTGGGTTGCTGCTGTCCCTGAGCTCAATGCTTTGAAGCCGAATGGTGCTTGATTTATTGTCTCATCTTGAAGGTATAATAAAACAGTAATGTTGGAAATCAAGATAATTGGGTGGTGATGCTAAAATTAGGAAGTAAATTTGGCATTCCTTAATGCTTGCCGTTCATTTGGCAAATACTTTATGTTGGTTAATGTCTAGACTCAGTCGACTTAATTGTAAGAGTGGTGGGTTTTTTTGTAAAGTTAATAAGTACTTTTTGTTTATGTGCCAATATTTGGCATACATGGGATTTTTCTGGCTGAAGAAGGAAAGTCGTTTTATTTCATTGCTTTCCTTGTTGGCCCTGATTGCTAAGATACCATTGCAGACCGCACAGATCTCCAAGTCAGACCTTGAAGAGTGGAAGTTGCTTTTGACTGAAGTAGGCCTGGGTTTAGACCAGGAAGCTCCCTGCCTCCAGCAGTTATCTGGAGCCAGAACGCTGAGAGCTAGCGCTTCCCATTACTAATGAACTCCACCCAACCTCCTGGCTCTTCTGCTTTATTTTCTTAAATATTAAAAGTCTTCCAGACAGCACCTGCCCCCTCCCCAGCATTGTCTGTCTCCCTGGATACATTCTTCACTCGTATGTTCAAGTTGGAGACTCCAAGATTATTTGCTCCACACTCCTCCAGCAGCCAGAGCCCTTCAGCTCTTCCTCCCTCCCGAGGGTTTTCTCTAAGTGGTCTTCCGCCTGGAAGACTCTTGCATCAACAGGCGGACACACACGTACGTGTGCGTGCACACGCACACACACCTGGTTCTTTAGCTGGGTTGATCACCACTGTGATTCTCCAATGGGATATTCATTCTGACTCCCAAGTGGAGAATATGGGGGAACTTGAGAGGGGTGGGTGCAGAGGAAGCACAGCTCGCTCAGAGATGTGCAGCCCTGCTGGGAGTGGCCTGCCCTGTCCGCTTTAGCTACTCATTCTTAGGAATTCTGCAGGGAGGAGCATGCATTTGGCTACTCTGGCCACTGCACAGGCACCCAAGGCTGGATGCTGGTTATTGGAGAGTGGGAAAATGGTGTTTTCCTGAGCCTCTAGGAAGACAATGGCTGCCCTCCTTAGAGCAGGGACAGTTTCAGCCTGTGGCCTTCCGGCCTGGATGAGACTGGGGTGGTATGCGAGGCTGACATTTAGTGTCTGGCTCAAGGCCTGACCTGTCCACCCACTTGATCTAGTTTCGTCTTTGCTAGTTGCTTATAGTGGGAATGTGATTTAAATAATAATTGGAGGTTTGGGTCCAAGAAATAGTGTTTTAAAATACCCACTCTCCCAAACCCCTGAACCATGTGAGCAAATGAAGAGAACTGAGAGCGGGGTGGCATACGTTTGCCCTTCAAATGTGGGGGCACTAAAACAGTCCAGGCCACACAGACCATGTTACAAACAAGGCTGGCACACCGCCCCAAGTCTGTGACCTGCGTTTGAGTCCCCAGAACCTACATGGTAGAAGGAAGGAAAGAGCTGACTTCTGTAAGCTGTCCCTGACCTCCACAGGTGTGATGTGATGTTCACACACGTACATACAAACAAAGGGAAAACAATTTTATAATTAAAATAAAACCCCTAAATTAAACTAGAGCCAGTGTGTGTCATTAGCACTCTCCTACCAGGTACAGGTTTTGGCTGGTTCGGTGGTTGCTGGTTGGTGTGTGTATGCAGCCTGGTTGGATTGGGAAGCAGAAGGGAGAGTAAGAATCCTTGGACATCTGCTAGCATTCTCTGGGATCAGGCCGAGGGCTGGACTGGGTTTGGGAGGAAGCATGGAAGGAATGCTTAAAATGCCGCACTCGGTTGCCGGTCGGCCCAGCTAGGCAGAAGGGCTGCTAATGGGCTCAGTTTTGCAGTGAAGTGCTTTTGTCTTGTGAGTTGTTACAGGTTTTATGTTTGGGGGTCTCTGTTTTGCTTTTCTTTGAGATAGGATCTCTTTGGGAAGCTGTGGCTAGCCTGGAATTCACCATGTAGGCCAGGCTGGCCTGGAACTTTCAACAGTCTTCTTGTCCTGGCTCCTAAATGCTGGGATCACACGTGTGAGCTGACTAAATGCTGGGATCGCAGGTGTGAGTTGACTAAATTGTTTCAGGTTTTCAGTTTTAGTGTCTTACTCAGTTTCCTTTAAAATACATTTAAATCAGGTGTTAATGCCAAACAAATTAAAAAATAGATTTACTTTATTTAATATTCCTTAGGGTCGTATTTATAAACTTATTGATGAAGGAGACATTCTCATCTGTCAGGTCTTGTTAAAATGGCATGGGAGTCCAGTGCAGCTCATCCCCAGCTGTAGTCTTCATTTGACTGATGAATGTTTCCATGAAAAAATTCTTTTAAAAGTTCAAGATTTGGCTGTAAAACCAACTGTCTTCAAATTAAACCTTAAAATGCAGAGTCTCCAAGCTGAGAAAAGAATTCTCTTTTTAATGATACCGAAAGCCGCCTTCTTTCTAGATGATTCCGTCATGGACCTGGGGCACTGGTGGGTGCTGTCTACCTCTTAAAAAGACAGCGTCGTTCTTGGGGTGTTCTGGGACCAACACTTCCCACAGAAGTGGGGAGAGATGGGGAGAAAAATCAGAACACTCAAGAAAGCCGATGGTAGCTTCATGGGTGTCACTGAAATCCTCTGCTCCCCATGCTTTGTGAGCCTGGAGAGGGGAGGAACAGCAAAACCCTGACCCTGCTGCTGGTCCAGGCCACCACCACTTGGTATTTCTTAGCTCTAGTTAACAGTTTTCTTTTGAGACAAGGTCTCAGTAGTCTAGGCTAGCTGCAAATTGACTAGGTAGCCAAAGACTAAACTTGCTGTTCCCCTCTGCACGCCCAACTTTGTGGGTTGTTTGTTTGTTTGTTTGGGGAGGGTGGGTTGTGCAGTTGGAGTAGTTGTGGCTGGAACTCAGAGCCCCTGCTTGCTAGGTGGGTGCTGCCCACACCTCCAGTTCCCTGACTGACTTTATGCTTGGAGTGTTTGTGGAACATGTGAGGATGCTGTGTGGATACGCTCCCACATGTGAGGATGCTGTATGGACACGCTCCCTTGGTGTTTCAGTGTCTGTATTAGAGTGACAGAGGGGCTAGGATAGTGTGTGAGCCGCCCCTAGAGTTTAGACTCCAGCCTGAGTGGGACTTTGCCCCACTCTTGGGAACCAGTGA